TTTGCTGCAGAACTTCCTGTACAGATGTGTGGGGACCACCCTGGGTGCTGCCTCCAGTAAGGACGTGGTGAAGAAGCATCTGCGGGAGCTGCTGGAGACGGCCCGGTACCAGGAGGAGGCCGAGCACGAGGTACCAGCACCTCCCGGGAGGCCGGGGCCGCAGGCTGCTGAGGGCTGCCCCTCCTCTTCCGGGCACTCGGCCAGCCTGAGCGCGTGTGCACGCGTGCCCCCTGCCCAGGCCTGAGTGCCCTTAGTGTCTCTCCAGGGTCTCGCCTGCTGCTTTGGGATCTGTGCCATCTCCCACCTAGACGACACCCTCACTCAGCTGGAGGACTTTGTGAGGTCAGATGTGTTCAGAAAATCCACCGGCATTTTCAACATTTTTAAGGTACAAAAGTCAGGCTGACACTGCGGAGGGGTTTGGGGTGGGACTGGCCTGTGATTTGGTCTCTGCTGCGGCGCCCTGTGTTTTGAGGTGCTGCGGGGTGGGGGACCCCAGGAGCCCTGCAGGCTGGAAGCTGCATCCAGCCTCTCTGCTTCCTCATGTGCGGGCTCCACCCCCGCTGGTGACAATGGGCATGCAGCCCTCTGCCAGCAGGTGAGAGGGGCTTTCTGCACGGGTAGGAGCTTCCCCTTCCCATCCCACCAGCATCTGTGTGTCCTCTGCCCCCTGGTGGCCGACAAGGCAGTACTCTTGTCAAAGTCTGGTTCAGGAGGGGTGGGCCAGCACCGCGTGCCCCGCCAGCCCTTGTCCCTGAGCTTTCTGTCTCCCAGTACCTGTCCTAGTTACAGGACCCCAGGGCTGGGCCAGGTGTGCAGGCCAGTCCACACTTCCTGTGTGTGTAGGTGTGAACAGGCTCCGAGGACAGGGCCCCAACTCTGGGCACCCCAGCACTTTGTCCTGCTTGCCTCTCCCACTTTGGTCCCCACAGGGCCCAAGCCTAGCCTTTCCCGCTGTCCACCTGCCTGGCTAGGCCTCTGACGGCTGCTGACCAGCTCTGTCCCTCCTCCACGGGGTCTTGGGGACTTAGTGTGAGGCCTCGTGCTGGGGCCGGAGAGCTACGTAGCTGACATCCTGCTTGCCCTCGGCCTCAGGACCGGAGCGAGGTGGAGGCAGAGAAGGCAAAGGGCGCGCTGATGCTGTGTTACGGGCACGTGGCGGCGCGGGCGCCCCGGGAGCTGGTGCTGGCCAGGGCCGAGTCAGACATCCTGCGGAACATGTTCCAGTGCTTCAGCACCAAGGTGGGCGCCTGGCGGGTGTCTGTGGAGGGCGCAGACGCTAGCGCCTCACCTTGTAACGCATCTCACTCTCTGTCGCCCAGGTTCTGGGAGTGAAGGTAGAGACCAAGGTACAGTGTGTAGCGCCTGGCGTGACGCTGCCTCTCTCCTCCGGGCCGGGCTGTGCGCTCCAGGGGCGGGAGCCGGGCACGCTTGGGGCTCACTGGCCCAGTCCGGAGGGTGTTCTGGAACCCGCCTGGGGCTGGCCATGCCACTTGGGAGGGGCCCTTCTGGCGCTTTGACCCTGGATGCCAGGTGGGGAGAGGGAGCTGCTTCTGCCCCACGAGCAGCGGGGTGCTGGTCTCCTGGTTCCACCCCTCATGCCCAAGGGGCTGACCTCTTGGCGAGGGGGGGGTGTCTGGCCTCACTAACATGCTTCTCTCTGGAGTCTCTGGCACTAACCTGGAGGCCCCTGTCCGTCTCCTGGGGCTGCCCGGTGGAGGCGCTGCTCTGAGTTTTTCTTCCTAAGCCCTTAGAATGGGGGCATCCTGTCTCCGAGACAGTTGCCCTCGTCTCCTTCCCAAACCCCGGTGGCCCGCGTTGGTGGGACAGGCAGGGCAGCTGCACTCCGCTGGGGTTCTTGGATGTGCTCCCTGCTCCTCCCACCTGGGGGACCTCCTAGCCACACTGCAGGGCACAGGGGATGCAGGTGGACATAGTGTGCCCTCTGGTCAAGGCCATGACCCATTGACCCCTGGGTCCAGCTCAGCAGCGAGCTGAGTGCCTCAGGGCTCCATCTGAGGCCTTTTGCCATGATCAGAGGGCTGTCTGGAGCCCTGACAGCAGGGCAGTGGCGTTATGGCTGGGGGGGGCGGGTGGCCTGGCCTCTGTCGCTATGAGCAGCCGCCCATAGTGGGCTTAGCCATGTGTGCCAAGGGGCAGCAGCGCCACACCAGGACAGAGCCACGCTGGGCGGGAGGGCGTTGGTGGCCCCTTGCAGCCTGCTGTCCCTTTAGGACCCGGCCCTGAAGCTGTGCCTCGTGCAGAGCGTGTGCATGGTCTGCCAGGCCATCCGAAGCAGCGCGCAGGCCAGCTGCTTCCACTTCGCACAGAAAGCAGAGCTGGTGGCGCAGATGATGGTGCGTGCTGTGCCGGCCCGAGGGTGCAGATGCCAACGGGGAGGTGGGGCTCGGCAGGGCTGGCAGACACTTGCAGCGGGAGGCCCACACCCACTTGCATCGGGGTGCAGAGTTGGCTCGCAGCATGGCCTGATGGGAGGCTGCTCCAGAGGAAGGCTGGTGCTTCGGCCAAGGGCTGAGTCACGTGGCTCACCCCCCACCCCCTGCAGGAGTTCATCAGAGCAGAGCCCTCAGACTGCTTGCGGTCGCCCATTCGGAAGAAGGCCATGCTCGCCTGCACTTACCTGGTGTATCCTGTCATGTGCGGGCGCTTGGGGGCGGTGCGGGGAGCCTGCAGAGGCTGGCCCTTAACTCGGGCTCAGCCCCCTGGAGCCAGCACTGGAGGAGCAGGTGCGGGCGGACATGGTCCACGGCTGTCTGCAGAGCGTCATGGCTGTGCTGCCCGAGCCTGAGGGGGATGATGACCACCAGGAGGTATGGCCGCAGGTCCCTTGCCACGTGCCCACATCCGTGGGGGACAGCGGGAAGGCTGCTGTGGACAGCCGGTCACTAGCGCGGCCACCCGTCTCCTTCCAGCCCCTGTACCTGGACACCATGCAGGCCTTAGAGGATTTGCTGACAAGCCTCCTTCAGCGGGACATGACCCCCCAGGGCCTGCAGGTCATGGTGGAGGTGTGCAGCGGTGTGCAGTGCCCTGGGGGCAGGGGCCCCTTGTTTGTTTTTCCGAGACCTTGCCACAGGGGTGCCACAGGGGCAGTTAGGTGCTTGCTGTCTGCAAGTGTTGGTGGTGCGTGAGCAGGTGGACAGTAGTCCCTCCGCCTGGGTGGGTGTGCAGATGGGGGCGGGTCCCGACCCAAGTGGGACCTGGAGCCCGTTCTGGTATTTCCTTTGCCACATGGTGCTAGGATAGAGAGGCCCTGCAGGTGCCCCAGGTGTGAGCATTTGACCATCTGGGGCCGTCAAGATGGCAGGATGGGCAGGTGGTGGCAGTGCTGTGTCCCGTCCTCTTCAGCATTGCAGTGGACTGGGCCGACCTCCTTCTAAGAGCACCCCGCCCCTCGCCCGGCCCTGCTCACGCTGGACCCACCTGGGATGGCCGTGTCTGTGAGCCAGGCCAGCAAGACAGAGATGGGCAGGGGTGAGGTGTAGCAAGTGGTCCGCCCTGACTTGGCCTGTGGGTCCTCAAAGCCAGGACAGGTGGCCTGGCAGGGACGCTGACCTTCCCATGCCACACGGGCTCCTGCTTCCTGGGCTGTCTCCCCAGCTGGCGCCTGTGTAAAGCCCCCATCTCCCCCAGCACCTGAGCCCGTGGATCAAGTCCCCCCGGGGTCATGAGCGGGTGCGGGCGCTCGCCCTGAGCTCCTGCCTGCTGCAGCACTTTCTGGAGCACCTGCACGTCAGCGTGAGTTCCCAGGGGCCACTGCGCCGCTGCCCCCGCCCACGCCCACTCCTGGTCCCGGGTCCCTTGCCGTGTCGCACAGCGGGCTTTCTGTCCATCCTCCATCTGTCGCCGTGGGCTGATCCCTTGTTCCAGAGCCTCCTGTCCTCTTACTGGCGACATAGACAGAGGACCTGTCAGGGCCAGGAACTGCTTTTGGGGCTAGCCACTTGGAGTCCAGTCTGATGAACATCCTCGTCCTCGACCCCATGCGTCCGTCAGCGGGACTGCCGTGTGCTGTGCCCCCAGGGGAGGGCGAGGGCGACAGGGAGCCAGGTGTAGAAGATGAGGGTACTGGGGACAAAGGCAGGAGCCTGCCTGTGCGGAGTGTGGACAAGGCGGACGTGTTGGGCAGGCGCAGGGCTGGCCGCACTGCCGGCCGGTCGCATGTGCCTCAGCGTTTGCTGAGACTCTGGAGCTCACTCCTACACTTTTCCAGAATTTTGGTTGCTCTGACAAGGCCATTAACCCAGGTGATTTTTGGGTAAACCTGACCCGGTCCTAAAACGCTCCTGTGGCGATTGTGACAGCCACATGGACTCGATGGACTCATGTGTTGAGCACCAGCGTCTGTGACAGCGGGTCCCCCCCAGCTGCCCCCAAAGGGGGCGGTGCCGCTGTCGGTGTGACTTCCTCCTGGGCCGTGTCTCACATTGCTTGCTGCTGGCCTGTGGGAAGCTGTGGGTTTTCCTGCGCAGTCCTCCCTGGCACCTCACAGCCCCTCCTCCGCCCTCCAGGCCCTGGTGCCCTTCCACAACCTGGGCCTCCTCATCGGCCTCTTCTCCCCACGGTGTGCGGACCTGTGGCCTGCCACCCGCCAGGAGGCCGTGAGCTGCGTCCACTCCCTGCTCTACCTCCAGCTGGGCTACGAGGGTGAGCCCCTGGCCGGGCAGAAGTGCGGAGGGATGAGGAGCAGAGTCGGGGCCTCCAGTGGCCAGAGTCCTCCGCCCGGCTCCACGCACCCTCGTGCCTCCGCAGGCTTCGCCCGTGACTACCGGGACGACGCAGTCGAGCGGCTCCTCGCCCTCAAAGGGGGCCTCGTGCACTCCGACCCCGCCACCCTCTTCCACACCTGCCACAGCATAGCCCAGGTACCTGCTGGAGCACCCACAGAGTGCTGGGGCCCAGGGACTCTCGTAGGGGCACCTGTACCAGGTGGGCTCTGCAGGGTGCCAGGCGGGGCACGGCATGGGCCGGTGGGCTCGGGACCTGGATGGGGTGCGCGGTTGCATTTCACTCAGAGAATCAGCTGCCTGGCACCACCTGTGACCACAACCACTTCTATTACTCTTCTGTGCCCCCGGGGTCTGCCTTCGGAGTCCCAGCAGGGAGGGTGTGGTCAGGAGCTGGCTCCCGGCTTGAGGGTTTGAGAAGGCTGCGCCTGGCCCACCCCGTGAGTCCCCGAGCCAAGTGGTGATGTCATTCCACTTGGTGTTGCAAGCGGCCCTCAGGGACCTAGAGCTTTCTTTCCTGCAGAAGGAGGGGCGGGGTCTGCAGGGCCCTTTCTGGGGATGCGGGTGCTGGAAGGCAAAGCCCCAGACTTGGGTGAGTGGAGGCGGAGCAGGGCCTTGGTGTTTGGCATCGGCGTTCTCGGACATTCGGCGTCATTGTTGCATGTGGTGCAGGGTTTCCCCTTAGCCTCTGGGCTGCTGTATCCGCTCTAGGTCCCGCTGCTGTTACGCTCAGGGTCCACTGCTGGCTGGTGGGGAGCCGAAGGTCCTGGGGGCCTCAGCAGCTAGGCCATCCAGGACGGGACATGCCTTTGACTGTATTCTAGAGCGTTCCAGAGCAGCTGTGTCTGCAGGGATACGCCTAGCCCACCCCAGGGGAGGAGGGTGCTCTGGCTGGGCTCCAATGGGGAGGAGTCTCTGGTGCAGGGGCCACCCTGCCAGCACCCTGCGGGGTGGGGACGCAGGAGGAGGGGTGAGGGCGGATGGTGCCCCCCTGCCCAGAGATGTCGCCTGGAGCCCCTCCTCATCTAACACACCGCCCTCCCCCCAGATCATTGCGAAGCGCCTCCCGCCAAATCAGCTCATCAGCCTCTTGCTCACCTTGTTCGAGGGCCTGGGAGACAGCGACAAGAACTGCTCTCGCGCGGCCAGCGTCATGATCAACTGCCTGCTGAAGGAGCGGGGCCACCTGCTCCAGGAGAAGGTGCGGTGCAGGGGCGGCGCCTGGGGGCGTGGTTAAACGAGGCATGGCGCAAGTGGGCAGCGGGGCGGCCTAAGCCTGAGGCATGGGGGCTGGGTAAGTGGGGGTTCCCCGCCTCCCCTACACTGCTCTGCGGAGGTCTAACCCTCACCGCTCCGCCCTCTTGCCCTGTGGACCTGATAGTGACAGATCTTTCACTTCTGAATGAAGACAGAGATTAGAATTTGGCAAAAGTAACTCTGCTCAGAAAGTAAGGGAGGAAAGGGAATGAGAAGGGAGACGCTCTTGCTAAGGCCCCTGGAGCTGGCGGCTCCCGGCACTGCTGACGGTTCAGGCGCTGAGGGTGGCCAGGTGCCTGCACAGTTTCCCCAAGGGCGGGCCCCAGACAGGACCCTCAGGTGTGGCCCCTCCTCACCTCCCTGCCAGCTCCGCCTGCTCTGCGGGCGTGCGCTCAGGTGGCTGTCCCCTCAGGTGGCTGTCCCCATGGTGGTTCCCCGAGCATTGGCACCACACGTCAGACACGTGTGAAGCACAGCCGAGTGCACGCCCCTGAGCTGGGGCCCCCCCCCAGGTCTGGTGGCTACCAGAACGCGTGCCCTGGGTCCTGTTCTAATGACCGTGCTGGCCTCACGTGAGGGTTGAATTTGCGTCTCTGGTGGCTTAGGAAACGAGCGCTTTGCACACGGTTACTGGCTGCTCGGAGCCCTCTACTGCGAGGGGACCGGTCTGTGGCCCGTTTCTCTTCTGGGTCATCTGTGCATTATTCCTGACTTGTAGAAAGACCTTACATATTCCGGACACAAGTTTCCTCTTGGGTGTATGCACGCGTCACCGAGAGGTGCAGCGGGGCTCAGCTGGTGGAAGGAGCTTGTGCTGTGACAACTGGACGGGGAGGCGTGTCCTGCAGGGCCCTCACCAGAGCTGAGCTGTGGTGCTGGCAGTCGGGACATGGGAGGGGACGTGTGGCAGGAGGGTGGGGAGGAGGCACAGCTCTGATAGTCAGGGTTTGGTGCCAAGGCTGGACTTGATTTTGCATTCAGTGGGGCTCTCAGGTCAGATCTGAGTGGCAGGAAGGTGCTCTGGTGGCTCTGTAAAGGTGGAGGGGATGAACCAGGCTGGAGGCCGTCACCACCGGGGTCCTGGTGTGTGTAGGACGCACCGCTTCTTGCTTACCCTGCGTCCTCCCATGGACACTTGAGTGGCCCCGGCCTCTTGGCTGTCGTGAGTAAGGCCATGAATGGGCTTGTGTCTGTGAGGTCCTGTTTTGTGTTATTTTTGGTAAATGCCCAGAAGTGTGAGTGCTGGGTCACATGGTGCCCTGTTTTGAGTCTTTCGAGGAGCCTCCGTGCTGTTTTCCGTAGAGGCTGCGGCAGCCGTGGGGCAGCGTCCCCTTTCTCCCTCCGACCGTTTCACAGCCACCCCGATGGGCGGGAGCGGCAGCCGCACTGGTTTCGGTTTGCGTCTCCCTCGTGGCCGATGGTGTTGGTCGCCTTTCACATGCTCGTGGACCCTTCTTTGGAGAAGTGTCAAGAGCTTTGCCTGTTTTTCAGTCCAGTTAAAATGTGATTTTTTTGATGTTGTCGAGTTTTCTGAGTTCTTTATATATTCTGGAGCTAATCCGTCATCAGGTGTGTGATTTGCAAATACTCTTCCCCGTTCCGTAGGTGGCTGTTGATGCGTAAAGTTCAGTTTGACATGTTCCCATAGGGCTATTTTTGCTTTTGTTGCCTTTACTTCTGGTGTTGTATCTAGGAAATCATTTCCAAGTCCAACAGCACGAAGCTTCTCCCCATGATCTTTTAGCAGTTTTGTAGCTTTGGGTCCCACCCGCTCCTAGTAAAGGCTGGCTCCTCTCCGTGGGCCCAGCACACTGACCTGGCTGCCCAGCTGTCCCCTTCCAGCTCTAACCACCAGGTTTAGATGCACTAACCGCCCCCCAACCCCCAGGGCAGCCGTGTTCCTGACTCCCAGGCTTGTTCTTTGAGCACGTTTGCAACATACCACCTCAGTCTCAAGTGTGATGTGGCACACTAGCACCTCATACCCTCAGGGGTCATGACGGGTCAGCTTTCTTTCCTACCCTGAGAGACCTTGGCTGGGGACCTCTTAGAGGCACCTGGACACTGCTGGACTTAAAATTTCTGACACCGAATCAGAAAATGTGGTCCTAGCCCATGACAAGGGACCAGACTGAGTCCTCCCTCCTACCAACACTCCACAATCGTGAAGCAGGGTACACTGTGAAACTGTGGAGGGCAGGACAGGGACCCACACCTCCTTCCCTGACTGGCACTGGAGGTGGAGAAGGGCCAGCCGAGGTGACAGGCGAGGAGACAGTCCACGTAAAACAAAATGCGGGCGTGGAAAATGGAGCTGCCACTGTGGAAGTGGTCAGTGGTCACCACGTGACTGGCAGTTCCCCCCCAGGGCATGTGCCTGAGGGAAGGGAGATGGGGCTGCACGAAGGTCCGTGCACAGATGCCCACAGCAGCGTCTTCGGAAGCAGCCTAAAGGTGGTGACAGCCCAGCGTCTGTCGAGCAGTCACGGGTAAATAAATGTGCACCGTCCACGCAGTGAAACGCCATCAGCAGCAGAATGGAACATGACACGTGGCACGGCATGGGCAGACCCTGAGAACACCATGCAAAGTAGAAGCCAGACACAAGGGCCTTGTCGTGTGTGACCCCATCTCCGTGAAGTGTGTGAAACAGGTGGATCCACAGACAGAAAGGGGTCAGTGATCTCCAGGGGAGACTGCCAGTGGCTGCGAGGCTTCTTTTTGGGGTGCTGGAAGTTGGCAGAGGTGATCACCGCACGGCCCTGTGCATGCACTGCAGCCCACCAGGTTGTATCTCGCTGTGGTGAACTGCGGCGTGGGGACTGCCCCTGGCGAAGCTGGTTGGCCGGGAGGGTGAGCCCCATCCTGGGACGCCAGCCAGGAGCCCTCTGCCTGAGCCCAGGACACAATGTCACCATTGCCTGAAGCCCAGATTCCGGCAGCAGACGCACCAGTGGGTCCTGTCGACAAGGTGTGGGGGATGTGGAGAAGGCAGGGGGCCCGGGACAGTGGCCGTCCCTCGGGCAAGGCGGGTCACGGGGGAAGAGCTGCCATGTGACGAAGTCCAGTGTGCGTGAGGGAGCGGAACTCGGAGGTCCGAGGCCATTGGTGGCTCCGCGGCCCTGCCCCACGCACGCAGAGGCCTGCAGGAGATGGGCGTGTGTCTGCGTGTGCCGGGCCTGATACCAACGCAGGTGGGGAAGCCCAGACACCAGAACCATGGCGTGCTGAGGGTCGTGACCGGCGTCCACTTGCAGTCACCCAGGCCTGCGTGTCTTCAGAGGACCGCTGCCTCTCGCCGCAGAGCCCAGGGCTCTGGTCTGTAGCGGTGCCAGTGGACGTGGCTCGGGGGAGGACCTGCGCCAGTCTGTCCTGCACCGCCACCGTGCCGGCTGGTGGCCGCTGGCCGGAGGACTGTGCACTGAGGAGCACAGGCCAGGGCCTGGGTAGGGGGCTGGCCAGAGAGTGGGGGTGTGCCGCAGCACATTGTGTAGCTGAGCTGTGACAACCACGTCACTGTGTCCACCAATCCTTGGAGAAGAGGTACTGAGGATGGCAGTGACAGCGCCTCTTCCTGAGGCTGGGGGAGCTGGGACCACACGCTGGGGAGCCTGCCAGCTGCCCATCCAGGAGGCCCTGTGCCTACAGCTCTGCCCCCCACGTCTGCCTCAGACTGCAGTGTGTTCCAGCCGCTCAGCCAGGGCAGGGGGGCCGACACAGAAGGCCAGCACCCATCGAGGGCATAGGGACCCAGCATGAGGAGGCTGGCACAGGCCGGCCTCGAGCCACACTGGCCCCGTCAGGCTGTGTAGCCCGTCTTCTCTCGTGGAGGCTCCGGCCAGGGATGCCGGCCGGGCTGGGGAATGGCCTGCAACCTCGCCCTTCCTGCCCCTCTGCCCCTCGCCGCCCCAGCTGTGGCATCTGCAGACGTACCTGCAAGCCCCGCCTGAGGCTGCGGCACTCCCTCCCCAGCCCTGCCCTCGTGTCAGGTGGGGAACCCGTCTCCCCTCCTCTGTCCTCTGTCCCCAGCCCACTGTTCAGCTTCCCCTCGGCCACACAGGCAGCCATGTGGGAGCAGTGGGCAGCCTGTGTGCCTGGAGCAGGTCACCCTGTCTGGGCCTCAAGGGGCCATGGGGTCTGCTGGCCTTGGTGCCGCACACAGACCCCCACGGTGCCTCTACTCCTGCGCACAGAGCCCGCCCTCCCCTCCCCACGGCCCTGCTCCTGGGCCTGATGGTGCGCCGCCCGCAGGTCCCTGAGATCGTGAGTGTGCTGCGCTCCAAGCTGCAGGAGACGTGGGAGGAGCACGTCCGGCAGGCCACACAGTACAGCGTGTCCCTCCTGGCATCCCAGCACTGCGAGGCCGTGGTGTCCAGCCTCCTGGGCAGCCCCCTGCCCTTTGACAGGTACCGGGGATGCCGGCCTTGTGCCATCCACAGGGCTCTAGCCCAGGCACCAGGCTTGGGGTCCCTGTAGGCCCCAGCTGCCACCTGCCTCCACGCTTGGCCAGCGCATGGGAGCCTGCAGGTCCCCTGGGTCCTGCACGGGGTTGCTGTGCACATCCTCTATTGGCCCAGGTTCCAGTGGGCGCCCTGGGCTCGCCCTCGCAGGCCCTGCCATCCACTCGTCCTGGGCCCGCCTTCACAGGGCACCCACTGTCATCTGCGAGCAGACTCCCAGGTCCTGGCCCTCAGTTTGAGCTAGGGAAGGAGCCCCATCTCCCCCATCACCAGTGCGTCCCCCACTCACATGCCAGCCTCGAGTTCCCACCAGTGCCCGGTCCTGCTTGTGGCTGCAGTCGCCTCCGTCACCTCGCCCTCCGGGGCCGTTGCTGTGGTCACAGGGCTCCTGCTGCTGTCTTTCTTTGCTGTCCCCGTTGTGGGTTGAAGCCAACCTATGACCTTCTGGGGACCCCGTGCTGTGTGAGTCTTCACTGGGCCGTGGCCTGGTGTTCACTCTGCAGCCCATCAGCCTTGCTTCCCGCAGACTCCGGGAGGAGCCCGCGCGTGCCTGACGCCGTCCGCTAGCACACCTCTCCTCTGTAGCCTGTGTCCTGAGCACCTCTTGCGTTACTTTGTCTGGTGGCCCCTCCGCCATCACATCGCTGTCCTCGTGTTTAGACGCGCTCTCTCCTGGCAGGAAGCGCCTGCATCCTGTGCCTGCTGAGCTGGGTTGGGGTCCAGCTTCTTTGGCGTCTTCTGTGTCACCGTTTTTCTTTGTCCCTTTCCCTGCGTCTTTCTTAGGTCGACAGGGTCTTCTTTATCAGTTCGTTTTCTCAACTCGATTACTTTGGAAGTCACTCAGCTCCTATTCTGTGAGTGGTCACCCTGGAAGTGACCAGGTGGTGTCCCCTCTGCACCTGGTCTCTGTGCAGTCCTGGCTTCCACTCACACAGAGGATGCACATGTCACTGGGCCTTGCGGGGACCCCGGGCCTCAGCCGCTGCCTGTCCAGGGCACAGAGGTGTGCACCTCCGCAGCCTCCAGGGCCGACACCACCTGCAAGCACCGTGGACAGGCTGTGCAGGGCGCCTGTCACACCCGTGCCACCCGTTCTCGTCATGCCGGGTGTTGTGCTGTGGGCACCATGCCATCACTGAGGGGCAGAATGTCCCAGGTCAGGGTCACCACGTGCGGCTGCACCTGGCCGCCGCCTGTTTTTACACAGCCTGTGAGTCGAGAACGGGTTTTACATACATCAGTGGTCGGGGAAATCCAGCAACACCCGTGACACATGAGACCACGGGGTCCAGAAACTGGTGCCATGATCAACCTTTCCCAGGGACCCAGAGTCCCCCTGTCGGCCGTGCAGGCGATGGATTCGCGGCCGCTTCCTGTGGCCGCCCGGTGTCTGCCCCACACCTGGTCGCTCCAGCACCCCCTTTCCGGGGCCACTGCCCATAAACGCTCCGCCCCCCTTCTCCAATCGAGCAAGGCCTTCCTGTCGGCTTCTTTTGTAGTTTGCATTCTAGCTCAGCGAGTATTTTCTAGCGTGTGAGAGGACATTTCTTTCTGGCTGCCGTGTCTAGCAGTCACTGTCCTTGTGTAGGACACCCACCTGCTTTTCTCAGAGGCGCCGGTCGTGCCTGTGCCACAGGGGCCCCGCCTTCTGGGTCCAAGTCAGCTCTGCTGGTAGTTCTGAGCGTTTCTAGCCTTTTCCCCTTGAGCCTGTCTTTCTGTCCTCTGCTTCAGGGATGCAGGCGACATCTGTCCGACCCTCGCCCCCTGCATCCTGGCCCTGTCTTCGGCACTCCATCGTGGCTGCCCTCTGTGCTGGGTTCTGGGTGATGTCCACATACCGGTAGGGTCACTGCCCCTCTCTCCTGTGTCCAGGCCAGTGCCACTATGCCCACCCGATGTGGGGCTCCTGTCGCACCCCAAGGCACTGCAGCCCTCCTCCACCCCCGCTGTGTCTGTTTAGGGTTCCTGGTTCTGCTGCATATTTGGAATTTGTCACTTCTCCGCACTCAGTAAAATTAAGTGCAGCTGCGTCCCGGTGTGTCCGAGCACCATGTCTGCGGCTGTGTCTGAGGGACCTCACTTCTGGGTGATTTCCTGGCACCATGTCAGTGGCCACGGTGCTCACTGCCTGGAAAAGGTGGCCTCCAGAGGGCCTGGTGTTGCTTCCGGCAGCTCCCAGGGAACCCTCCCACCAGCCCACTTGGGCCCCTGTACCAGCCAGGAGCACTCCCTGCCCTACTGCTGGCTCTGCCCACCGCCGGGCCCCTGGGGGCAGAGGAAAGGGTGAGGTTAGACCCGAGGTCAGGGCACCATGTCCCACCTGGCTGGAGCAGAATCTACTGGGCACATCAGGGCATGGAGCTGGGGCCGGCAGCAGCCACAAAGTGACCATCCTCTCGCCCTACTGCAGCCAGACCTGCGTCCTCTGGCGGGCACTGGCGGTGGAGCCCAGCATCACTGCGCAAGTCCTGGAGCTGCTTCTGCAGAAGATGAGCAGAGACGTCCCATTCAAGGAGAGCCGGGCCTT